TGGGTGGGTGAAACAGGGCTCCCCCCCCCCAGTTTCCTGACACTCATTTCTGAAAACGGTTGTGCCAAAATGTCGGTTGTGTAACAAAACTCTCACGGCTGGCAGAGGGAAGCGGCACAGCCCTCACGGTGCATTATTTATCTCACCAGAAACCACTTACCATTTATCTCCAGGGCTGCCAGGTTGCAACCCAGAGATTACCTCTGCAAACTGCTGCTGTAGGGAGATGAGTCAGAAGTGGCTTCTCTTGTCTCTCCCCCCTCCCGCCCCCGCGCAATCCAGTCCTTTCAGCCACCCCCCCAATTTCTTGTGAAAAGCAGGATTCCAGGTGTGCTGCACATCATGGAGATGATAACGATCCCAGCCGGAGTCGGGGAAAAGGAAGAAATGGGTGAGAGAATTATCTGGGAATTAGAGACTACTGGACTGGTCTTCCAGGTCAGGGGGTACGATTTTCAGCTATGCTTGGCCTCTCTATCTTTTCCTTTAGAAAATAACTAGTGTAGAGGTAACCAATGTGATGGCCACGGGTGCCAGTGTGCCCTTGGTACTTCCCATGGTACCCATGAAAAGGCGTGATAAGTACACCCATAAAAAGCCACAATACACAAAAGGCAGTTCCTGCTCAGTCGCTCCTACATTAAGGGATAGAAGGAGCTGTCAGTTTTGGTTCTCCCAGTTTCTTCTTTTTCCAACCTTAAATTCAGTTCTCCACATTTCTGCAGAAAAGAAAAGAAATTCTTGTAAAAACTCGTCAGCATTTTAGTGCGAATTTCTCTATATTAGGGAACTGCTGGGGAAGAGCAGGTACTGCAGATACAGCAGCAGCAATAACAAAAATTAATGATTATTAATAATTTTAATAATATTTTTTGTATGCAGTTTTTGACTAATGTACACATTTCGGCAAGCTGTTTTGTAAGGCTCCCCAAACAGGCATTTTGATTCTTTGTTTATTTCCAGGGTTGAATCATTACTTTTGTGGGAGCAGGATTGTCGCTTTCCCGTGGTCCTTTTGGGCCTCCTGAAAGAGTTGATTGGCTCATCCTTGGGAGTCCCATGGAGCTGAAAAGGTTTCAAAACTCCATAGCTTTCAGTGGCAGCTTGGGCAATGGCCTGACTCATGTTGCAATGGTACAGGCCTCCCTGAAGCAACTGCAGGCAACTAGAGCACATGGGATTCAGCTCATGCTAAATCTCATTTGTCGTAACACCGGGTCTCCACACCCCCCCTCCAAATATATGACAAGGCCGTAGTAAACTTGCCACCAGCTTGGCATCTTTGAAATAGGTTCTTGAGGTTTCCTTTCAGGTGGTGAAGTGTTTTGTCAATCTCCTTGGAGCCACTTTGTTTTGGATGGTTTGGTGAGTGGCTTTTGCTTATTTTCAAGGCCTGACATCTTGCCACCTGGCCTTCAGAAGAACTTCCCCCCACCCAACCACTCCATAACAAACTGGCTAAAAAAACGCACACCTGGGAGCGAGCAGATGTGCATTTAGTTTATTCAATGCTTGTGATTCATTTCAGTCACTTATTGGGCAGTAATCCAATTTGAATGGTGGTCATTCTAATTAAATTCAATTAGCAAAAAAACCAAAACAAAAAAACACCCTTTGGATTTAAGAGGTTGTGTCAAGGGCTTTCGGCATTCACTCAAGCTCCAAAATGTCGGCCAATTACTGCTGCCCTTATCAGACGTGTTATTTAGACAGTATCAATATGGTATGGTGTGCTATCTTCCGGCTAGTTCCAACTTCACCACTGCTTTGGTGCTGGATGGCTGTCCGTGCAGAGTGGTGGATCTATGTCCCAGATTAGTTTGTTCACTAGAACAGCCTCATGGAGTTGATTCAACTGAAACTTTCAGTTACAAGCACCCTGCTCAGTGGCATAGCATGGGTTGCCAGAGCCCAGGGCTGTGTGGAGGGGTGGGAGGGAAGGAGTATGCAGGCACATTCAACTGCTTAACAGAGTCCGTATCACCCAGGAGATTGCATCCACAGATATAAGAAAATAAGAGTTGTTCCATTGACTGAAGAAGTCACTTCCTGGTTTGCACAGTGTTATAACAAAAACTGTTCCTTTTCCCTTATGGGGTATTCCAGAGTGCGTATAGAGTCCTTAAGTGGGTTCCCTATCAGTAGGAGAAAATAACAGAGGCCAACCAGAGTATATTGAGAAGCAAACAGGCTAGTAAGCCAAATCTTTATTAAAGGAACTATTGCAATAGGGTCCCCACTCACAACACACAGGAGGAAGGAGAACCCTGAACAATGGTGTGCAAGTCCTTACATAGACTTTTGACATTGCCCACCCTGTAGCCCAAGACCACCCCCCAAAACATCATACAGACATCACAGAAGGAGGCGGTCTACAGCAGAAATCCTGTTTGCCAGGATACCTGATAATGGTCACTAATTGCATTACTTTGGCAGTCTGGCCATTCCTTTGTGATGGTTAATACTTTAGTTCCTGAATCCAGGTCACAGGCTCACCCTATTCATATACAAATATGCCCTTAAGACAATATTTGTAAGCAAAAAGACAATGGGAAGGCTTTGCCCATTTGCCTCCCTTACTGCAGAGGAATATTTGAGGTGAATGGGAGAGTCAAAATGCCTTCAGGATTGCTCTCCCATACTATTTCATATACATGGTTCATATATTTAGATATGTGTGCCTTTATGAGTATTTATTCTATATTTGAGACCTTAAAATTCTTATAATGGAGAAGCTGTTTTCAACAGAGCCCTGTGACGGAAGCATGCAGCTGTATTGAGACAGCACTGGGTGTTGAAATTTTGCGCCCCTAACAATTTTTGCACATGGGGCAACCTCCCTGTGGGCCCCACGCTACGCCACTGACCTAGCTGGCCTTCTACCTCTGCGTATACCGGTACTTGTGAGATTCTAGAAGCATTTGAATAGTCGATGTCAGAAACAGAATGGTGGTCAAGATGGAATGTTAATTCAATCCATCAGGGCAATTGTCAATGTACCGTATTTTTCGCTGTATAGGACGCACTTTTTTCCCTTCAAAAATGAAGGGAAAATGTGTGCGTCCTATGGAGCGAAGACGCCATAGCCCCGCGACCCTCTCCCGGCTGGAGAGGTGACGCACGGCTATGGCAGGAGCCTCTACAGCCCCGCATCACCTCTCCAGCCGCGAGAGCGCGCGCGGGGCTAAAGAAGCACCCCGCGACCCTCTCCCGGCTGGAGAAGTGACGCGCGGCTGTAGAGGCTCCTGCCATAGCCGTGCGTCACCTCTCCAGCCGGGAGCATGCGCGGGCTAAGAGCCATAGCCCCGCGACCCTCTCCTGGCTGGAGAGGTGACGCACGGCTATGGCAGGAGCCTCTCTGCTGCGCCTTTCCGCTGCTCCCTGATCTGCTCTTTGGGGCTGGTGGTGGGCTTCCCCCCGCCAGCCCCAAAGAGCAGGTCGAAAGGAACCTGAAGCCTGGAGAGCGAGAGGGGTCAGTGCACACCGACCCCTCTCGCTCTCCAGGCTTCCAAGGTAGCCGCCTGAACGCACCTTAAACGGCACCTTGTTTTAGAGCGGGAAAACAAGAGGGGGAAAGTTCTCCCCCTCTCTGCACAGCGCCTCCTGCCACTTCGCTGAAGGGGCGCTGGGCAGAGAGGGGGAGAATTTTTTTTTCTTGTTCTCCCCCCTCTAAAACAAAGTGCATCCTATTGTCCGGTGCGTCCTATGGTGCGAAAAATACGGTAAGTGTAATATAACTCTGAAAGATGCATGCAGTTAAAAAACAAACATACATACATACATGCCCTTCCTGTCCACATCTTCTGTTCATGTTTCAAGTAGCACATTTCTCATTGTATTTGTTCATTTGGACACAGAACCCCCCCAATCCCCCCCAACACGACCAGAGTCACTGCAATTTCTAGAAATACACTTTTGTAACGGGTTGTGGTACACATGTTGCTTTCCTTGAATTGTTTAAGTTACTATTTTTGTTTTGTTTCCCTCCACCCCACTGATGGATCCTGGGGTAGCTGAAATTCCAGCATGCTGGCTTTCCCGTTCTCTGTATAGTGTACTGGATGAAAAATGTGGTGCCTTCATCCTAAAATGCTAATTTACAGTAGAGCAGGGAAGGGGAGGGAGGAAAAAGACAGGAATATCTATCAGGGTTATTTGGAAGAAAATCATATTCGGATGGAGAGAAGGTGGTTTTAATTTCTGTAACTATGACTGGTTCTGAGTCGTACCTATAAAAATCAATCTGTTCCAGACGTCAAGGACCAGGGAGGAGAGTTTTATTCTCCGTGAAGTGTGTTAAGCTCATAAATGGATATGAGAAGAGCACCTTGCAAGTCTTTTAGGAATCTGTCTGTTTATTCCATGATGATAGCAGTGGGGGGCTATCTTGAATATGCCGCTGTCAAGGTTAAGGTTAAGGTTAAGCATGAAGAGTCCATCCACAGAACAAGAGAGACATCCATGTGAGGAAGGAGGTTGCCATGCCTGGTTTCTTGGTTGGCTTTGGAACTGCATGTGGAACAGAGAAAACCGACAGCTCAGCTGGTAGAGGACGAGTCTCTTAATCTCAGGGTCGTGGGTTTGAGCCCCATGTTGGGCAAATGATTCCCTTCCAGTTCTACAATTCTACAAGCCACACCACTGGTCCATCTAGTGCAGTATTGTCTACATTGACTCACAGCCACTCTTCTGGGTTTTAGAGGGCGGGAGGTGTCTGTCCCACCTAAGCCTGGAGAGGCCAGGGACCAAACCTGGGAAGTTCTGCACTCAAAGCATGAGCTCTAGAACCGAACTGCTGCCTTCCCCAACACCGCAGATCTCATGTGCTTTGTTCCACTCAGGTTTCAAGCCTGCAGGCCTCTAAGCACAGCAGTATTGGCTAATGTAAGCAGCCATCTTTTTTACTCTAAAGATTCTCCTGGTCATGACACGACATCACAATGCAGCATTGTTTCCGTGGCGCATTCTGTCTCAGAAGCATAGCTGTTGAGAGCATGTTGAGAGCATGCAAACCACCATCTGAGACAGCAAAGAGAGTAAAACCCTTGTCCACATCATGTTTAAAGTTAAAATGAAAATGCTTAAAATTTGACTGCCTCGTGGAAAGTTGCTGGATATCCTCCCAGCCCTTTTTATCCCCTTCAGGGGCTTGAATGGTCACATGAAAGAATAGAGGAGCTATCCAGCAGAAGAAGCTACTATTGTGCTGAGATGCGTCACGGCTGCTTATTGGGAGGAAGCGGAGCAATGAGGCATTGGGGAGGGCAGCACAATGTAGATACAATAGCGGAGCCAATCTGTCACTCCTGACGCTGCCTCCACCTGCTAAGCAGCAGTGGCTCACCTGCTGGGAAGTCAAGTAAGCATCTCTGCCCCACATACTGTGTGTGTCCAGATCTCTCTCTCTCTCTCTCTCTCTCTCTCTCTCTCTCTCTAATTTTAATTAAATTTTCTGTTTTACAATTTAGAATACTCATTAAAACATCCTTAAAGTATCAATGACTTCCCTCCTTCTCTTTCCATTGTTCATTTTGCATATCATAAATCCCTGCATATTTTACAAAAACTAAATCATTCAATATTGCCCCCATATAGTCAATAAATGTTTTCCAATCTTCTCTAAATGCATGTTCTTTTTGTTCTCTTATTCTATATGTTAAGTCTGCAAGCTGCGCATATTCTGTCAGCTTAGGTTGCTGTTCTTCTTGCTTGTTTTCCATTTTTGGGCTAACAAAACACGGGTCACCGTAGTGGCATACATAAATAACCTTTTTTTGACATCTGGGAATTTCGGTCTGAATTATCCCCAATGAAAAGGACTCTTTGTTTTTTTGAAAAGTACTTTAAATCATTTTTTTTCAATTCATTATGGATTATTTCCCAATGCTCTTTTACCCTTTTACAGGTCCACCACATGTGAAAGAACGTTCCTTCAACCTCATGGCATCACCAGCACTATGTGTGTGTGTCCAGATCTGCAGGACTTGGGAGCACCCCCAGAAAAGGCTGATGATGACTTCCGGAGGCGGCGCCAGCGATTAATGGCGGATTTCCTCCATCGAAGGAAATCTCACTGCGAATTAAGGGTCGGATCCCGCTTTCGGCGTAGCGGGGGACCCTCAAAAATCACAGGCGGGAGAAGCCTGTGAGCCTGGGACCCAGCAGGCACATTTGGCGCCCCCCCCACCTGGTAGGAAGCCCGGCAACGGGCTTTGAAGCGGAGCGGGGAGAGCGCTGTGCTGTGGGCTGTCTGCTCGTTCGTGGTGTGAAGCCGCAAGCTGTTGATCGGAGAGCGCTGCCTTTCTTCCTTAAAATCCGGACCTGAAAATCAACGATCCGTGAGTAGGATACAATTTAAATTGGAACTGTACAAAACTGGAATCTGGCCGAAAACGGAAAGAGGCTTAAAAAGGAAGTCAGCCTCTTTATTTGTAGATAAAATAAAGCATTGAACTTGAAAGCGGAAGCAATTGGAAAGTACGTTTTAGCGGACTCTAATCCAATCATCCAACCTGGACTTTTCCCTTTTTAAATTGAGGGAAAAAGGGGGAGAATTGTGGATGTGATTTCTTCATAAAGAGTGGAAAAGAAGGGATTGAACCACCACTCAATTCCCTGGGAAAGGATCTCCAGATCTCAGGAAAGAAAGAGAGGTACTGTCTTGAAATATATTTTGACAGCTAGTCCAGCACAAGAAATAAAAGTTTGGACAATTTATCTGAATATATATCTCCTGGTCTTAAGTTAAAAATTCTGAATAGACTGTTTTCGTCTTGAATAAACTAGGGGGGTTAAAAAAAAAAAGGAATTAAAGTATCCAAGAATTTTTATGACTGTTACAGTGTCCCCCTAGTGGAACTTGGAACTGTTACAATTTGTTACAACTGAAACTGTAGCAGACTTGAGGAGTTCTCACACTGCTTGGCAGGAAATTTCCACTGTTTAACTTCAAATACGTGACTGACCTTGGCGTTATCTAAGGAATGGCAGATGGGAAAGAGAAGGCGGATGCTTCGACTACAAGATCGGGGAAGATTCTTCGTACAGAAGAAGGATTACAAAGGAGAGCTTCGGCCTCAGGCCCTTCTGGAACCTCAACAACAGCCTCATCAACACAATTAAAGGTAAAAAGCACGACAAGTGAAGAAGCCTTTGCTCATGTTTTGGCCAAAGTTAATGAATCTTTGAATAAAATAAGTCAACAAGTAGCAGAGGCTTCTGATAAGATTGATCAAAATACATTAAGTATTAACCAGAATACAGCAAGTATTAACCAGAATACAGCAAGTACTAACCAAAATACAGTAAGTATAAATAATTTGGGCCAAAAAGTAAATACCAACACAGAGACTATTCAGAAATTATTAGAGGAATCGGCCTCAATTCGTCAGATTGCTGAAGAGGCTAAAGAAATTGCTACAACTTCTGCTACGGAAGTTAAAGAGGTTCAAGAGGAATTACCAACACTGCATAAACAATTGGAAGATCACAAACTAACCCTGTCTATGATAGATTTGAAGGAGAAGCAAGTGAACCTTTGGGTCAGATCGGTACCTGAGGTGGAAAAGGACAATCTAGCGGAATTTCTCACGCAGGAATTTTTGGACTTTTGGGATCCAGAATTGGTAAAAGACAGTTTCAGAATAGTAAATGCCTTTAGACTCGGGAGAAGAGGAGAGAAGAAGGTGAGAGACTGTCTGATTACTTTTCGAACAAAAGAAGAGAGGATAAGATTTTGGGCCTACATTTTAAGAAGACACTGGAAATCCATCGGACAAGGGTGGAAATATTCAAAGACATTCAGAAATATCTTCTGGATCTCAGATCAAAATATAAAGACTTGGTTATCCTGCTGAGAAGGAACAATATCAATTTCAGGTGGGAACTTCCTCAAGGCCTGTCTTTTAGCTACAAAGGAAAGAAGAGGAAAATAAGATCGGAAGACGACAAAGACAAATTTTGTAGAGACCACGGAGAAGACCTACAAAAAGAACTATCTCCGGAACCAAAAGACCTTTCGAAAGAAGGGATACCACCGACGGATGAGGAACAGGCACTAGGTGCAGTAGGAGGAGAACTAAAACAATAACATCATGGCCCTGCAACTTTTAACATGGAACTGTCGGGGTCTGAATTCCCCTCAGAAGAGGAAGTCAGTATTTCATATATTAAAAAGGAACAATTGGACCTAATTTGTTTACAAGAAACACACATAACAAGATTACACAGGAAATTGTTGATAAATAAAAGACTTGGTCAGGAATTTATTTCGTCAGATAAAGTTAAAAAGAGAGGGGTTGTGATTTACGCAAAAGACAATTTATCACCAAAATTTGTTTTTAAGGATGACCAAGGAAGATTTGTGGCAATTGAAATTCAAACACAAGGAGAAAAATTTTTGATTGTAGGAGTTTACGCACCAAATGATGGGAAATCTGATTTTTTTAAGAAGTTGCATGAGACCTTGATGGACCATATGGATTACAACATGATTTTGATGGGAGATATGAATGGAGTGGTATCTACTTATATGGACAAGGCACAAAGACAGGTAGTCACCAAAGATGGTAGACTACCGAAAAAACTTTTTGACATTACAGACAACTTGGACTTAGTGGATATTTGGAGAATTAGAAACCCCTTGGCAAAGAGGGAACTTTCTTTTCTGAAGCCAAAATGACTTGGACAAGAATTGACCAAATTTGGATAACTAGAGGAATGGCACCAAAGACAAGAAAGGTGGAAATCTGCCCGAAAATTTGCTCCGACCATAATGCTGTTAAGATGGAAATGAGACTAACACCAACTGGCTCCTTCAGATGGAAGATGAATGACACCTTATTTAGAGATGAAGAATTTCTTAAGAAGGCCCAAAGAACTCTAAGAGATTACTTTGAGATAAATATTAGTTCCAACGTGGAGAAAAGAGTAATCTGGGACGCAAGTAAAGCTGTTATGAGAGTGTTCTTAATACAACAGAATGCGATAAAGAAAAAAACTCAAAATGAAAAGAAGGATAAAATTATGAACAAAATGAATGAATGTGAAAAAAGACTGCGAGTAAATCCCAAATCTCAAGAGATTCTGAGAGAGTTAAAGTTACATCAAGTACAATATATGAAAATAATGAATCAGGAAATAGAATGGAAGATTAAACAAATGAGACAAAAGACTTTTGAATCGGCCAATAAATGTGGTAAATTGCTGGCATGGCAAATGAAAAAGAGACAAAAATTAAATACGATTATGAATTTAGAAGTGGAAGGAAGGAATATACAGAACCCTGCAGAGATTAGAAGTTGTTTCCAGAAGTATTTTAAAAGACTATATACTCAAGGGCCAGTGAAAGAAACAGATTTAGACCAATTTTTGAAAACAAATGGACTACAAAAAATATCTCAAGAGAAGAGACTAATTTTGAATGACAGAATAACTGAACAGGAAATAGAAGGTGCCATTCAAAATATGCAACTGGGTAAATCTCCAGGACCAGACGGCTTGACCTCTAGATACTACAGATCTTTAAAAGAATGGATAATTCAACCATTGAAAGAGGTCTGTAACGAAATTATGGAGGGAAGAGGGCACCAGAGTCGTGGAAAGAAGCATATATTACACTTGTACCAAAAACAGAGACTGAAAAGACACAACTTAAGAACTACCGCCCTATATCATTACTTAATGTGGATTACAAAATTTTTGCAGATATTTTGGCGAAGAGATTTAAAAAGTGCTGTTGGAAGAGATTCATAAAGACCAAGCGGGCTTTCTCCCAGGAAGACATTTGTCTGATAATTTGAGGAATATAATTGATATTTTGGAAAAATTAGAAGTGAATATAAACACTAAAGCAGTGTTGATATTTGTAGACGCGGAGAAAGCCTTTGACAATATTTCTTGGAATTTTATGAAGAAGAATCTTCAGGGTATGGGGGTAGGCCAAGGTTTTGAGAATGGTATAAGTGCAATTTATTCAGAACAAAAGGCTAAACTAATTGTAAATAATGTTGTGACGGAAGAACTTAAAATTGAAAAAGGGACACGACAAGGTTGCCCAATTTCCCCACTTCTTTTTATTTCGGTCCTGGAGGTTCTGCTGAATATGATTAGAAGGGACCAGATGGTTAAAGGTATACAGGTCGGAATTAAACATTATAAATTGAGAGCATTTGCAGATGACTTAGTATTGACGTTACAGGAGCCAGAATCTAGTACAAAAAGGGTTTTAGAACTGATTCAAGAATTTGGTCAAGTGGCAGGATTTAAATTGAACAAGTCAAAAACCAAGGTTCTAGAGAAAAATTTAACACCGTTTGAAAAGAGAGGTTTCAGAATGAGACAGGTTTAACAGTGGTTAAGAAAGTTAAATACCTGGGGATTAACATGACAGCCAAAAATGGGAATTTATTTAAAGATAATTATGAAAAATGTTGGTCAGAAGTGAAAAAAGATTTAGAAATTTGGTCAAATTTGAAGCTTTCACTGCTAGGCCGTATTGCTGCGATAAAAATGAATGTATTGCCTAGAATGTTGTTCTTGTTTCAAACTTTGCAGATCGTGGACAAAATGGATTGTTTCAAGAGGTGGCAGAAAGATATCTCTAAATTTGTCTGGCAGGGCAAGAAGCCTAGAATAAAATTTAAAATACTAACAGATGCAAAGGAAAGAGGTGGATTTGCCCTGCCAGACCTTAAACTTTATTATGAATCAGCAGCCTTTTGCTGGTTGAAAGAATGGCTACTTCTTGAAAACACTGACATTTTGGACTTGGAAGGTTTCAATAATGTATTTGGATGGCATGCATATTTATGGTATGATAAGGTCAAAGCACATAAAGCATTTAAAAACCACATTGTCAGGAAAGCGCTATTTAATGTTTGGTTAAGATATAAGGATTTGTTAGAAAATAAAACCCCAAGGTGGCTGTCACCAATGGAAGCGAAAGCCTTGAAAAAGGTCAATATGGAGGTCAAATGGCCGAAATATTGGGAAATTTTGGAACAAGATGGAGATAGACTGAAATTGCAGAGTTTTGAAAAACTAAAAACAAAGTGCGAGACTGGCTTCATTATTATCAGATAATGGAGGCATTTAAATTGGACAGGAAAATTGGCTTCCAGGTGGAAAGATCCAAATTAGAAACAGAATTGTTAGAACCCAAAACTAAGAATTTGTCAAGAATGTATAACTTGCTGCTGAAATGGAATACTCAGGATGAAACGGTAAAATCGGCCATGATTAAATGGGCACAGGACGTTGGACATAACATTATGTTTGCTGACTGGGAACAGTTATGGACCACAGGTATGAAATTTACGGCATGTAATGCCTTAAGAGAGAATATTATGAAAATGATATACAGGTGGTACATAACCCCAGTCAAGCTTGCGAAAATCTATCACTTGCCCGATAACAAATGTTGGAAATGTAAAGAAACTGAAGGTACATTTTTTCACCTTTGGTGGACGTGCCCAAAGATTAAGGCTTTCTGGGAAATGATATATAATGAATTAAAAAAGGTATTTAAGTATACCTTCCCCAAGAAACCAGAGGCCTTTCTCCTGGGCATAGTGGGCCAAATGGTGTTAAAAAAGGATAGAACTTTCTTTATGTATGCAACAACAGCAGCAAGAATACTCATCGCAAAGTATTGGAAGACACAAGAACTTCCCACGCTGGAGGAATGGCAGATGAAACTTATGGACTATATGGAATTGGCGGAAATGACTGGCAGAATCCGTGACCAGGGAGAAGAGTCGATGGAGGAAGACTGGAAGAAATTCAAAGACTATCTTCAGAAACACTGCAAAATTAAGGAATGTTAGAGTGATGTTGGATTGAAAATAAGTGGTTTCCAGCTGTACAGGTTAAAGTTAAGGATAGATTAAGATTAAAGATTAAGATTAAAGATGTTTAAAGAAATGGAAATTTGATAATAAAAGGGAAAAATTTAAAGCTATATGATATTAAGAGTAAGGATTAGGTTTAAAAATTTGAAGTTATATATTTTAACATTTTATTAAATTAAAGATTGGGATTAAAAAAGTGGAAAAGAAACTGCTGGACAAATAATGTGGATTGGAATACAAAAAAAGGAGGTATGAGGAAGTCCAGAAAATAAGTAATCTAAAATTGGAAATGGAAAAGAGAGTTTGTTTTTAATTGTTATGTTTTGTTTTTATTGTTAAGTTTTGTATTGTTTTTTGTGTGTGTTGTTTTTCTTTTTTTCTTTGTTTAAAATCTTAATAAAATCATTATAAAAAAAAACAGAAAAGGCTGATGATAAGCCCTCATATCTGCAAGTAGAACTGCTGAATCTAAGTCCTCTTTGTCAAATGTTGTACGCAACATTAGAATCATAGAATCATAGAATCATAGAGTTGGAAGAGACCACAAGGGCCATCGAGTTCAACCCCCTGCCAAGCAGGAAACACCATCAGAGCACTCCTGACATATGGTTGTCAAGCCTCTGCTTAAGACCTCCAAAGAAGGAGACTCCACCACACTCCTGGGCAGCAAATTCCACTGTCGAACAGCTCTTACTGTCAGGAAGTTCTTCCTAATGTTTAGGTGGAATCTTCTTTCTTGTAGTTTGGATCCATTGCTCCGTGTCCGCTTCTCTGGAGCAGCAGAAAACAACCTTTCTCCCTCCTCTATGTGACATCCTTTTATATATTTGAACATGGCTATCATAT